GAAAAAAGTTTCGAAGAAAACAGATTTGAAAAACCGAAGGAAAATGAAACGAAAAAAAGAACTAACTAACAATTTTCCTCTTTTCTCTTCTTTTTTTCGACTACCCAAAAAATACACACAGAAAAAAGGGCAAAATTGTTGCGGGAATATTACTTGAAAGCAGAGTTTTTTCACAATTAGTTTAGTCACTTTTTCTCTTTTTTTTTTCAAACTTTCTTTTTCTCACATTTTTTACTCACTTTTTTTGGTTACAAAATTAACTTTTTTTACTCGTCTTCTAACATCTGATTCAACAATAACAACAGAATGCCACTGTTCGTTGTTTGCTGTTGATCGTCCTCCGATGAAGACAAGACAAGATAAGATAAAAACAAGACAAGACAAATAGAAAGTTGAGCTAGAAAAAAATTTAAAAACAACTTTAGAGTAGCTGTTGTTCAAAGATCAACGCCATTAAATTTTCATTTTTCACTATATTCTGCTTCAATTTTTTTTTTTTCTAATGATGATCAAAAGACAATCAAATTGCAGCCAACAACAACAGCGGTTTATTGATGAGCCAAAATGTAACCGTCTAAAGCAATAGATCAACCATTATACAGTTGTGTGATGTGACTAATGACGATGATAATGAGATTGGATGGCAATAATTACATTGATAATGATAATATTTATTGTTTTCAGCAAACTAACTTATTGTTTGTCAATAAACTTAGTTCCGATTAATAAAGCTGACTATGTATCCGTGAAACAGCAACTAAGTGAAAATAAAAAAAGAAACTCAGTTTACTTCCTTAAACAAAATAAAACTGGTTTAAAGAGCCATCGCCGTTGTTGTTATTGTTATTTGGCTTTTTTTAACCCCTTTCCCTCCCCACCTGAAAAAAAAATCAAGAAAACGGCTTTGCTTTATGGTGATTTCTCTCTTAATTTTTCCTTTTACTTTATTCAACTAATATCATAAGTGAAAATACCCCATCAATCACTTGCTATTTTTCTTTTTCTTTTTTTTGCTCACCCAAACACTTTACTTCTTTGCATAAATTTTTGTTGGTGAGCAAAAAAGAATGGAATAAATAAATGAATAAACATTCAAAATGATATGACACCGTTTTAGACAGAAAAAAAAAACAGTTCAGCCATTTTTAACTGCTTGAAAAGACACTAGAGTTGTAGAAGCAGAACAGACTATTAAAGCTGTCTAATTAAAAGAAAGATAAACCGTATATTTACCGAAATAACAAAAATTGTATAATGCTACGAAAAACCGGAAAGGATTTTTGGCAGATCGTATCCTGGCAACGAACAACTGGGCCTATTAACCGTACTGTTATTGACAAGTCTTATATGGAAGAAACCTGTACACTAACGGTTCATGCAGTCGGTCGGATGAAACCAACCAGTAGATTATGACTGTATTGAACTGCACTGTAGAAGTTGAGTAGAATGAATTTATGTAACAAAAAAAAGAAGGGATGGTCAAAAGCAAAAAAAAAATAAAGTTTTTTATAATTCTAGAATTTTACTAACCAAAACAATTATCAATTGAGGATGATAATATCCCAATCGGGATTTCTTCATGTTCCCTTTTACTGTGAAAATGTGTCGCCGTTGTATCATAATAATTTGTTGTTGTCGGAACCGATGGAATTGGCAAATGCAACTGTGTTGTTGCTGTCGGATTACTTGTCGCGGTGATTGGGGTTTGCTGTGAACTGTTGGAATGTATCGTTGTAGTTTCTGGATCACCCCGTAATTTTCGTTTACGAGATCCGGCAAAACCAGCCGATTCATAAGCTCTTAAGTATTCGTGTTTTCGTTGCAATATTCGGCATACATTACTTTTAGCAATTGCATATCGTTCAGCAATACTCGCCTGACTCATACCCGCATTTTCTTCGGCAAGACGAATTAGTTGTACCTTTTCTTCCAATGTCAGCTCTTTATACGGTTTTTTTTTGCGTCGTTCAACCACTACACCGTTTGCACCAGATGCCGATAAACGTTCCACTGATGCAACTGTTGTGACACGCTCAACAACGGCACCGGATTCTGCTGTTGATGCTGCTGGCGGTGAATGTGTTGAATTTTCAGCAAATACACCACCGGAATTACTGGTAGACTGTTGCGCAGGTATCAGTAGCGATGTAGCCATCAAATGAAAGCAGCACAGACAAGAGCAGATTTGCTACCAGAACATATGAGACTGATTTTGATTATCGATGGCGGCGATGGCGACAATAATGATGATGATGATGATGATGATGATGACGATGATTAAAGCCCCAAATAAAAAAAATAAACTTTTATTATTTTAATTTTTTTGTTCTTTAGTTTTTTCTTGGTACTTCCTTCAGTTATTTGTTTCTTTTTTCTTCTACTTCTTCTTCTCGTTCTTTCTTCTTTTTCCGTTCTTATTTTGAGATCAGTGAACCAAACATAGATAAACGCGCCTTTCTGTCTACATACATAGATGGGGACTGTTTGTTTGTTGGATGATGTTGTTATCTGTCTGTGAAGTCAGCAAATATACAGTACGAT